ATCAACAAATAACATAATCATACGAAATCATATGAAGGGACAAATCGAGCTCGAAAACGCATACACTTGCATATTAACTAACATGACAAGTGTCAGACATCTGGCCACACAGGCCTGTACGTTGGACTGCAGATCCACACGTACCAAATGTGAGATGTGGCGTTGGACACTACATCGACATCCACCCTACAAACGAATCACATGTGCTAGGGCCGACCCATACGCCTCCTAAATCTAATATCCATCACACCAAAATAGCTCTCACACGAGCACAAAAGAGGAGACGCCGTGGACTGATCACACTGCCACGGTTAGTGTCATGCCATCGGTGCCACAATGACGTGCCTATGGTACCCCCATAGGTGGTTAGTAGCTCGAGTTACCCAGARTTGAGTTGTCACAACGAATGTGACGTTAAATGTCTTACATATGGTCAATAGATAACAAAGTCACACGAAAAGTCAAACAAAGAATTATGTTGAATAACAAGTAGGCATAATATAAAGAGRCTCAATTCGAAGAATACATAATCAATCAAAAGTACCAACATACGTACTTTTAGAGGTAAAAATCATACCAAAATGTTACCRAACAAATAAACGTATTATTTTGGAGAAAACACATACTTGTACCAACATTGACCCAATTAAATAACATGATTAGAAAGTGGTTTTCTTATGATATGTACGACATAGAACAATTGCAAGTGAATGAAAATGCGGTACAAAAAAAAAAGATATCAATAATCGTGAGTCAATCAATCCGAGTTGAAAGAAAGCTTAAAGGGCTCGTAAACAAATGTAAACGAATCAACTGAATGAATAGAATTAAGAATCCGTACCTTGAACTTCACAAAACTTATCGATTCCCAAAGTTTATTCCTTTATATTTGCCCTAAACAAACACCCAAACTTACTATTAATCCTAATTGATAACTTAATGGCAAAACGAAACTAAATCCCTTAACGACTAATAAAGTAACTAAACTCAACTACATCCTATCAATATATATATATATATATATATATACATATATATATATCCATACTATGCACCAACATTAAGCACATATAGGATTAAATTCGAGAGAAAAATAGAAGAATTTTGGGGTTTAAGACGATTTTGACAAACCCTAATTGCTGCCATTATTATTGACCGAATCGGTGACTTTTGAGTCACCGGAACAACTCAAATCTTACTTAAACAATCCCAAAATTT